GTGTTTTCAGAATTGCTAGTTTTTCCTAGGTTGGGGTGAGACAGGTTTGTGCTGTCTCTGCTAGATGTTTATGACTATTCAACCATAAATCCAAACTAAGAGTAAAAAAATGAGCAGTAAATGCTGGGCGTGGTGCCTCACGCCTGTAATCCCAGCACTTTGGGAGGCCGAGGCAGGTGGATGACGAGGTCAGGAGTTCAAGACCAGCCTGACCAAGATGGTGAAACCCTGTCTCTACTAAGACTACAAAAATTAGTCAGGGGCGGTGGCAGGCACCTGTAATCCCAGCTACTTGGGAGGCTGAGGCAGGAGAATTGCTTGAACCTGGGCAGCAGAGGTTGCAGTGAGCTTAGATCACGACACTGCACTCCAGCCTGGGCAACAGAATGAGACGTCTCAAAAAAAAAAAAAAAAAAGCAGTAAAAGGAATCATTTGGTGCATGAGTCATGGAAGGTAAGCCAAAAACACTTTGGGAAGAATCATGGGTAACTTTTAAATTACTCTGCTTCTGTGATATTTTTGAAACTTGCCTGATGTATCAAAAAAATAAAATAGCGTTAGTTGATGGTGTTGGGCAGGGGACTGAATTCCTATGGAGGATGTGTTTTTAGGCAGAGAAAGCCTCTCTCTGCATCTGTTATTTTTCCAAGTGCTTTTAGCGAGAAATGATCAGTGTACCAAAGCATCATATCTTTGGGTGATATGGGGTGGCAGTTCCTGAAATTCATCAAATGGCTACCTTTGGTTAATGTCTCATGAAATTTTTCATGGGCAATCCATGTATAATTATGAAGAACAAGTGAATCAGGTAAATGCGAATGAAATAAAGGTTTATAAATAGGGCCAGTTGTGGTGGTTCATGCCTGTAATCCCAGCACTTTTGGAGGCTGAGGCATGACGATCACCTGAACCCAGAAGTCCAAGACCAGCCTGGGCAACATAGCAAGATCCAATCTTTGCAAATGATGAAATCAGCTGGCTGTGGTGGTGTGCATCTGTATCCCAGCTACTTGGGAGGCTGAGGTGTGAGGACTCCTTGAGCCCGGGATGTTGAAGTGGCAGTAAACCATGACTGTGCCACTGCACTCCAGCCTGGGTGACAGAGTAAGACCCTGTCTCAAAAAAAAAAAAAAAAGGCCGGGCGCGGTGGCTCAAGCCTGTAATCCCAGCACTTTGGGAGGCCGAGACGGGCGGATCATGAGGTCAGGAGATCGAGACCATCCTGGCTAATACGGTGAAACCCCGTCTCTACTAAAAAATACAAAAAACTAGCCGGGCGAAGTGGCGGGTGCCTGTAGTCCCAGCTACTCGGGAGGCTGAGGCAGGAGAATGGCGTGAACCCGGGAGGAGGAGCTTGCAGTGAGCTGAGATCCGGCCACTGCACTCCAGCCTGGGTGACAGAGCAAGACTCCGTCTCAAAAAAAAAAAAAAAAAAAAAAAACTTTATAAATACACCTTTCAAAATAGTTATATTTTACAAAGTATGTCTACATAAAAGTAGTTTAAAAACATTTTTGCACCGGGCGTGGTGGCTCACGCCTGTAATCCCAGCACTTTGGGAGGCCGAGGCGAGCAGATCACCCGAGGTCGGGAGTTCAAGACCAGCCTGACCAACATGGAGAAACCCTTTCTCTACTAAAAATACAAAATTAGCTGGGCGTGGTGGCACATGCCTATAATCCCAGCTACTAGGGAGGCTGAGGCAGGAGAATTGCTTGAACCTGGGAGGCGGAGGTTGCGGTGAGCCGAGATCGTGCCATTGCACTCCAGCCTGGGCAACAAGAGTGAAACTCCGTCTCAAAAAAAATATATATATATATTTTTGCCAGGTGCAGTGACTCACACCTGTAATGCCAACACTTTGGGAGGCTGAGGCCAGCGGATCAGCTGAGGTCAGGGGTTTCGGACTAGCCTGGCCAACACGGCAAAACCCCGTCTCTACTAAAACTATAAAAATTAGCCGCACGTGGTAGCGCACGCCTGTAGTCTCAGTTACTGGGGAGGCTGGGACAGGAGAATCACTTGAACCTGGGAGGCAGAGGTTTCGGTGAGCCTAGATCGCTCAACTGCACTCCAGCCTGGGTGACAAAGTGAGACGCCATCTCAGAAATAAATACATAAACAAATAAATAAAAATAAAAACAAAACAGTTTTTGGTAAATTGAAATCTTTTTTTTTTTTTTTTTTGAGACGGAGTTTCGCTCTTGTTGCCCAGTCTGGAGTACCATGGTGCGATCTCGGCTCACCGCAACCTCTGACTCCCAAGTTCAAGCAATTCTCCTGCCTTAGCTTCTCGAGTAGCTGGGATTACTGACATGCGCCACCACGCCCGGCTAATTTTGTATTTTTAGTAGAGACGGAGTTTCTCCATGTTGAGGCTGGTCTCGAACTCCTGACCTCAGGTGATCCACCCGCCTAGGCCTCCCAAAGTGCTGGGATTACAGGTGTGAGCCACCATACCCAGCCAAATTGAAATCTTAAAGGTATGTTACATTAAGTTAAATAATAGATACTCAAATGTCTGAGTCATTTCACAGTAAGTCAAGTTACTGAAGTACTAATTGCTGAACATAAATTTAAAACATATATATTCTGGTGTCTTATTTTTATAGAGTTTAGCAAAGCTAAATATATTTGGCCCTGGTAATTAAAGAGATGAAAAATTTTGAGTTGGAGTTCATCTGCAAAAAGCTAACATAAAACACTTCATGGCCAGGTACAGTGGCTCATGCCTGTAATCCCAGTAATTTGGGAGATCCAGGTGGGTGAATCACAAGGTCAGGAGTTCAAGACCAGCCTGGCCAACATGGTGAAACCCCATCTCTATCAAAAATACAAAAATTAGCCAGGCATGGTGGCACGCACCTGTAATCCCAGTTACTGGGGAAGCTAAGGCAGGAGAATTGCTTGCACCTGGGAGGTGGAGGTGCGGTGAGCTGAGATCTTGTCACTGCACTCCAGTCTGGGTGACAGTGAGACTCTGTCTACAAAAAAAAAAAAAAAAAAAGACTGTCTCAAAAGAAAACCAACCAACCAACCAAACAAGCAAACAAAAAACACTTCACAATGCTTACTGGTTTTCACTGGAAATTAAGGTTACAGGCCAGGTGTGGTGGCTCACACCTGTAATCCCAGCACTTTGGGAGGCTAAGGAAGGTGGGTCATGAGGTCAAGAGATCAAGACCATCCTGGCCAACATGGTGAAACCCTGTCTCTACTAAAAACACAAAAATTAGCTGGGCATGGTGGTGCGTGCCTGTAGTCCCAGCTACTTGGGAGGCCGAGGCAGGAGAACTGCTTGAACCTGGGAGGCGGAGGTTGCAGTGAGCTGAGATCACGCCACGGCACTCCACCCTGGCAACAGAGTGAGACTCTGTTTCAAAAAAATAAAAAAGAAAAGAAATTAAGGTTAGTAAGAGTAAAAAATTCTAATCAATATATGTAATTAAAACATCTAGAAATAAGCCAGGATTATTAGATGTTTATTAAGCTCATGCCTGTAATCCCAGCACTCTGGGAGGATGAGGCGGGCTGGATCACCTGACGTCAGGAGTTCAAGACCAGCCTGATCAACATGGAGAAACCTCGTTTCTACTAAAAGTCCAAAATTAGCCGGGCATGGTGGCACATGCATGTAATCCCAGCTACTCAGGAGGCCGAGGCAGGAGAATCTCTTAAACCTGGGAGGCGGAGGTTGTGGTGAGCTGAGATGGCACCACTGCACTCCAGCCTGGACAAGAGCAAAACTCCATCTCCAAAAAAAAAATATATATATATATACACACACACACACACACACACACACATATATACACACACATATATACACACACGTGTATATATACATGCATGTATATATACATACATATATACACATATATACATACATATACACACACATAGAAATAATAGGGAAAGCAACACTGTATGCAAGGGAAGGCATGTTTTATAAGGGAAGTTATATCGATGAATTTTGATTAAAGAAGGATAATCATTTTTGTCCTAACATAGAGTGACTATTCCACATGAGGAAAGAGGAAAAAGTATAAGACAAATTAAATGGATATGAGAAAGTTGGCTGACCATGGTGGCTCATGTCTATAATCCCAGCACTTTGGGGGGCAGAGGTGGGAGTATCATTTGAAGCCAGGAGTTTGAGACCAGCCTGGGCAAAATAGTGAGACCCTGTCTCTACAAAAATTAAAAAATGAAAAAACAGCCAGGTGTGGTGGCATGCACCTATAGTCTCAGCTACTCTACAGGCTAAAGTGGGAGAGTCGCTTGAGCCTAGGAGTTCCATACCATAATGTAGTGAGCTATGACTGCAGCACTGTAATCCAGCCCGGGTGGCAGAATGAGACTCTGTCTCTTAATTAAAAAAAAAAAAAAAAAAAAAATGTCTGGGCGCAGTGGCTCACGCCTGTAATCCCAGCACTTTGGGAGGCCGAGGCGGGCACATAAGGAGGTCAGGAGTTTGAGACCAGCCTGGCTAACATAGTGAAACCCCGTTTCTACTAAAAATACAAAAATTAGCTGGGCGTGGTGGCAGATGCCTGTAATCCCAGCTACTTGGGAGGCTGAGGCAGAAGAATTGCTTGAAGCCAGGAGGTGTAAGTTGCGGTGAGCCGAGATTGAGCCACTGCACTCTAGCCTGAGCAACAGAGCAAGACTCCATCTGAAAAAAAAAAAAAAAAAATTGTAGAAGGTCGCGAAAGAGTAAATTTAAATGAAGAACTTCATGTTTTGTCAAACTGGCTACAACTGAATGAATTTATTATAATGGTTTTATAGAAGAGCCCTAATGTCAAAAGTACATTGGTGTAAAACTAGAAGTTGGTTTTCTCCCACTTATTTTATTTATTTATTTATGAGATGGAGTCTCACTCTGTTGCCCAGGTTGCAGTGCAGTGGCAACCCCACTCAGTGTCTGTTCACTGCAACCCCTGTTTCCCGGGTTCAGGCAATTCTCTGCCTCAGCCTCCTGAGTAACTGGGATTACAGGCATGCGCCACCACGCCTGGCTAATTTTTGTATTTTTATTAGAGACAGGGTTTCACCATCTTGACCAGGCTGGTCTTGAATTCCTGACCTCGAGATCCACCGCCTCAGCCTCCCAAAGTGCTGGGATTACAGGTGTGAGCCACCGTGCCAGCCCTATTTATTTATTTTTTGAGGCAAAATCTCACTCTCTCACCCCAGGCTAGATGGAATGCAGTGGTGCAATCTCGACTCACTGCAATCTCCGCCTCCTGAGTTTAAGAGATTCTCATGCCTCAGCCTCTTAAACAGCTGGGATTACAGGTGTGCACCGCACCACACCAGGCTAATTTTTGTATTTTTAGTAGAGATAGGGTTTTGCCATGTTGGCCAGGCTGGTCTCGAACTCTCTGACCTCGTGTGATGCACCCACCTCAGCCTCCCAAAGTGCTGAGATTACCACACCTGGCCATGTTTGGATCCTTTTCTAAAAGCAGTTGATAACATCTACATTCAAAAGTTGTTTCTTGGCTGGGTGCAGTGACTCACGCCTGTAATCCCAGGACTTTGGGAGGCCAAGGGTGGCGGGTCACCTGAGGTCAGGAGTTCAAGACCATTCTGGCCAACACAGAGAAACCCCATCTCTACTAAAAATACAGAAACTAGTAGCCAAGTGTGGTGGCGAGTGCCTGTAATCCCAGCTACTCAGGAGTCTGGGACAGGAGAATTGTTGGAACCCAGGAGGCGGAGGTTGCAGTGAGCCAAAATTGCGCATGATTAGAACCACAATGAGTCCGGGCACGGTGGCTCACGCCTGTAATTACAGCACTTTGGGAGGCTGAGGTGGGCAGATCATGAGGTGAGGAGTTCGAGACCAGCCTGACCAACATGGTGAAACCCCGTCTCTACTAAAAATACAAAAATTGGCCGGGCGCGGTGGCTCAAGCCTGTAATCCCAGCACTTTGGGAGGCCGAGACGGGCGGATCACGAGGTCAGGAGATCGAGACCATCCTGGCTGACACGGTGAAACCCCGTCTCTACTTTAAAAATACAAAAAACTAGCCGGGCGAGGTGGCGGCGCCTGTAGTCCCAGCTACTCGGGAGGCTGAGGCAGGAGAATGGCGTGAACCCGGGAGGCGGAGCTTGCAGTGAGCTGAGATCCGGCCACTGCACTCCAGCCTGGGCGGCAGAGCGAGACTCCGTCTCAAGAAAAAAAAAAAAAAAAAAAAATACAAAAATTAGCTGGTCATGGTGGCACATGCCTGTAATCCCAGCTACTCAGGAGGCTGAGGCAGGAAATCAGTTGAACCCTGGAGGCGGAGGTTGCGGTAAGCTGAGATCGTGCCATTGCACTCCAGCCTGGGCAACAAGAGCAAAATTCCGTCTCAAAAAAAGAAGAGACCACAATGAGATGAACAACAAAAGAAATCTCTCCTCAAAGAGCCTCACGGTGTGACCTCAAGTCCCTGAATGAGACAACTACCACCCACCCATGATGGTGACAGAGTGGCGCTCATGCCTATGTTTTGGCCAATCTCTCATCACGGATAGGCTGACTGGAAGGACAACGTTGTTTGTAAAAATTCTCTTTGGGAAGCCATTGGGCTGGGGTGGCTCTAGTCCTTCAATTTCTCCATGAAGAAACCTTGCCCTATGGGAACCTCACATTTAATCTAGAAATGGCGCCAGCCTGAAACTCCCAGCCCTAACGAGAGACTTTCCACTCTGTCGAGTTGTTTTCCTGGGTTTGCTTCTGCAAATGCTTGATAACTGTCCCCCTGGCTCTCCCTGGGAGTGCTAGTCACCCACAGTCTTGTGATAGGAAGGTTCACTGAGCAATAAATGCTCAAATAAACTTTTTTTCTCTCTTTAAAATTTTTAATAAATAGAGTTGAGGTCTCACTATGTTGCCCAGGCTGATCCCAAACTCTGAAGCTCAAGTGATCCTTCCACCTCAGCCTTCCAAAGTGCTAGGATTACAGGTCCGTGCCACCACACCTGGCCTCAAAAAAACTTTTTTATTTTTTTAATTTTTTCAAATAAACTTTTTTTTTTTTTTTTTGAGACAGAGTCTTGCTCTGTTGCCCAGGCTGGAGTGCAGTGGTGTGATCTTGGCTCACTGCAAGCTCCGCCTCCCAGGACCAAGTGATCCTCCTGCCTCATCCTCCCGAGTAGCTGGGTCTACAGGCATGCACCACCATGCCCAGCTAATTTTTTGTATTTTTGGTAGACATGGGGTTTCACCATGTTGGCCAGGCTGGTCTCAAACTCCTAAGCTCAGATGATACACCTGCTTCAGCCTCCCGAAATGCTGAGACTACAAATATGAGCCACTGCACCTGGCCCGCTTGCCTTTAAAAGCCTGCTTGTAGCCAGGCATGGTGGCTCACGCCTGTAATCCTAGCACCTTGGGAGGCTGAGGCGGGCAGATTACTTGAAGTCAGGAATTCCAGACCAGTCTGGCCAACATGGTGAAACCCTGTCTCTACTAAAAATACAAAAAAATTAGCCAGGCATGGTGGTGGGAGCCTGTAATCCCAGCTACTCAGGAGGCTGAGACAGGAGAATCGTTTGAACCTGGGAGGTGGAGGTTGCAGTGAGCCCAGATCCCACCATTGTACTCCAGCCTGGGAGACAGAGGGAGACTCCGTCTCAAAGAAAAGCCAGTTACAAAGGCTGAACGGAGCTCATATTCCAATTCTGAGTCTCCCCAGTGGTTGTCTTCACCTTGGCCCAGGTGAGCTCTACTTACAGGGATTTTTGCCTCGCTTTCTTCTTCGGGGGCCACTCTCTAACTCATGATGTTCCCTTCTCTTGGAGCGACAGGAACTAGGCCCTGGCTGCTTCAGGCTGTTCTCCCTGTCTCAGGATGTTGCATTTCCAGCATGTTCCACAGTTATTCTTGGGAAACACAAGCAAGAAAGGGATTGACCTGGGTGGAACTGCAGTGGTTGGAAAACTGTGTGGCGGCCCCTGCAGGGAGACCCAGGCTTCTCCAGCTTCCGAGGGCCCATGGTGGGCATCCACCATTCTCAGCAAGGTTGGGGGATGCTCAGTGCCTGGAAGCCATCAGTCTGGAAGGCTTCCTGGAGGAGGTGACTTAGGCCAGTGAGGGCAGTGACTGGGGGGGCATTCTGGGAGGGCCCAGCAAGAAAGGGACAGGGCCCTGGAGAACAGGATGAGGCAGAAGCAAAGGTACAGCCTCCTAGAGGTCCAGGGCAGGGTCCCACTGACCTTTTCAGGCCAAGGGTAGCAGGAGGTGGAAACCTCAGGGGCCTCCATAGTGTACAGGCCGGTGGCTGCTTTCCAGGTTGAGGGGCTCAGGGTGTGAGGCCTGACAGGCTGGAGGCCTCGGGAGGAAGTCCAAGTGGTCTGAGATGGCTCAAGCTGGGCAGCCCTGGTGAGGGGTACGTGATGGGGGTGGAGGGTGCTTGGGTGAGGTGGGGTCGGAGCTGGGCCTCCAAGGACCCAGAACCCTGAGGTTTGAAGCCTGGTTCTGGCAAAGCGTCAGGTATGCCACAGACACTCAGTCATTGTGTGCTCAGCGAATTTTTGTTTTTTTTTTTACCCTGAAGTTTACTTTGTTCATACTCAAAATTTAAAATGTGCTGAGCCTGCTGCCCCAGGATGCTCCTGTGCAGGGTGAGCCTCTCATTCTGTGGGGTGTGAGAGCCGGTCCTGCCAGGCCGTCTCACAGCTCCCTCCCATGGATGGCTACAGGAGAAAAAAAGCAGCATCAGCAGAGGCCTTGCCCGCAGGAGGGTGACAAAAGGCAAGGAAAGGAGGGAGGGGGGCTCAGGGTCTTAGAGAGCCGAGCTCCAGTCCCAGCTTTGACCCCAGCCTCCCACACCCATCCTGAGCCTTCCTCTGACTCTCCAGCTCTGTACCGCCCTAGGGACCCCCAGACAGACCCTCCCCAGGGACTCCCCTGGGGAGGCAGTGCTCCCTTCTGACCTGCAGCTGGCTTCTTCCTGATGCCCCACCTATTCCTCTCAAAGCAACCTTGGAGGCGGTAATGCCTGTCACCCAGCTCTTCATAGCCATGTCAGCGTCAGGAGTGACCTCAAAGGCTCTGGAGACAGAATCTGGATGGGGGAAGAATGAGCCCGGTGACCTTGGTGACCCCACGCCCACCCCACAAATTGGGCACGTGAGGGACTGTGGGGATCCAGGTCCTACCTGAGAAAAACACCCAGACCCTCAAGATGGCCCCATCCCACCAAACTCAGTAGGGGAGAACAGGCCCTGAGCCAGTCTCCAAACCCAGCAGGGGGATGGAGGATAAGGGGTCTGTCGGGTAAATGGGGGAGGAATGAGCCAGGGGATGTCAGCGACCCATGACCTCTGTCCCCCACAGATTGGGAATGTGAGGGGCTGTGTCCCATTAGACTCTGGGGCAGCGACCTGAAAACAACACTGGGACCCTCGAGATAGCCCTGTCCCACCGAGCTCAAGGGGAACAGACCCTGAGGCAGGCTCCAACTCACTCTGCCCTCTGCAGGGATCTCCTGGTGACCTCAGGGTGGTGACTTTGCCCCTCTGGGCCCTCCCTCCCAGGGGCCATGGGGACCCCACCCTCCACCCCCAGGTTGGCAGGAGGAGCCAGGGGGACACGAGGAGGCTCTCAGAGCAGGACTGGCTGGTGCAGGCCTCACGGTGAGAGCCAGGCATGCCGTAGAGGGGTCACTAGGCTCTGGGGTCAGGTTCCCTCTGAGTGCCCAGGCATTGCCCCACTAAACCTGAGAACCCAGCACGGGGATGGAGGCTGGGGGGCCTGTTGGGTCCCGTAACAGCTCCAGGCCTGTAACTGGGGACCCAGCCTGGTACTCTTCCACCCAGCCCTACCCGTGTCCCACTCCCAGCCCAGGCCTTCCCCAGGAGCCTCCTGCTGACCAGAAGCCTCTTTCTGATCTTCTTCAGTGGGATGCTGGCCCTTTGGCTGAGCAATATCCCTGGAACAAGAGCGACAGCAAAACACATTATTGACTCCTATGACACACAAATTAGATATGCTCATGGGACAGCCTGGATAGGGGAGGAATGAGCCAGGTGATGTCGGTGACCCCACGACCTCTGCCTCCCCCCAGACTGGGGACATAAGAGTATGGAAATCAAGGTCCCACCACATGCTGGGGCAGAGACCAGAGAAAAACAGTGGGACCCTTCAGGTGGCCTTGTCCCACTGAGCTCAGCAGGGAGAACAGGCCCTGAGCCAGGTCCCAACCCCCTCTGCCGGGACCTCCTAGTGACCTCAGGGCGGTGACTTTGCCTCTCTGAGCCCTACTTCCTACAGGCCATGGGGACCGCACCCTCCAACCCTAGGCTGGCCGGGGAGCCAGGGGTACACGTGGAGGCTCCCAGAGCAGGACTAGCTAGCTGGTGGGGGCCTCACAATGAAAGCCAGGCACAAAGGGAGCTCCAGGTCCTGGGGAACAGTGTTTCTCTGAGTTCCCTGAAATTGCTCCCACCAGGCCTCTGTTCTCCCCAGCAGGGGAACAGAGGCTGAGGGGCCCTCCAGGTTCCCTGAGAGCTCTAAGCATGTGGCCGGGGTCCCCCCATCTCAGGTGTCCTGGAATCTCAGCCCAGGGGGAAGCATTTTCATCCCCACACCTTCTTACAGGACATGTTGTTCTTATGTAACCTGGAGCCCCCTGCCCACTGGGGAAATAACCACTGTCCTGCTCCTGTCCCACGGGCCTGGTGGCTGGAAGTAGTCAGGGCCCAGCTGGTTGTACGGTGAGATCTTGACCTACACCCTAAGGACCCTGAGGACAGGTCCTCTGAGTGTCTGCATGTCCTTACAGGGACAGCTCAGCCACACTGGGAAGAAAGCCCAAGACATCTTCCTTTCCTCACATCTGAAATCTTGGCAGGTCCCGATCTTACAAGGAACACAGCTGGAGGGGTCACCTGGGACCTGAGCCTCCAGGAAGGCTGGCCCAAAGCCTTCTGGCTGCCCCTAGCCCCTTCTCCTTGTGTCTGGGGAGCCTCCCCTTGGCCTCAGCTCCTCAAGCATCAGAAGTTGCCTCTGCAGGCCTCGGGGAAGCTGCTCCAAAGCCCCTCAGGACCAAGTGCTGGGGGCCATCATCTCCCAGCTTCCAGCCCTTCCCAGGCCACCTTCCCATCCCCAAGGCCCCTCACCCCAGGCTGCAGCACATCAGGGGCCATCACAGAGGCTGTCCTTCACCTGCCCCTCCCACATCTTTCTCTCTGATGGCTCCGATGCGGGAGGCAGCCACAGAAGGCTGGGGCTGAGGCCAGGGAAGGCAGCCAGTCCCACCTGGCCCGACCTGGCCAATGGCTGCAGTCCTTGAGTGCCAGCTTGTCTTACTCATTCCAGCATCAGCCCTGCCTGGACTCCTCCCAGGGCCCCTCTGGACCTGGGGGATGGCAATCGCTCTCTCTGGAGTCAGGCCCTGAGCCTTCTCAGCCCTCCTGACTCCCTGTCACCTGACCTACCTTGCAAACAGTCTGTCCTCTGTGAGTGCCTGCTGCAACTACCGGACCCTAGGCCCTCTTCACTGCCCCTGCTGTCCCCCTTAGCCCCTGCAGCTGCTCCCATACTGAGCCCCAAGCCTTGGCCCCTTACCTCTCTCCTCTACTCCCTGGAACCTCAGAAAACAGCTGTCAGTCTCCCAACCCCCATTCTTGTCCCCAGCCCATTTCCTCTGTGGCCCAGGGTCCTGACCTCACCACTCCCTGCTTCTGCAGAGCCCAAGGCAGGACCTGTGGGTGCTGAGGACCTGTTGTGGGACAAGCCAGGACAAGCCTGAGGTGCCTGTCCTCCTGCAGGGGACAGCGGAGCAGGGCCAGGGCCACCCCAGGGGGAGCTGGGAGCTGGGTGCAGGGAAACGGACGGACTGGCCCTCACCCTGCTCTTGGCCACTGCCTCCCCGGGATCCCTTCCCGGGTCCCCTCCAGCCTCACCTTCCTTACCCGCCCTTTCCAGGGGCTGTCCCTGCCCTCTCCCTTTGGTCCCTATGGCCCTTTCTAGAAGGAAAGCTTGATTTCCTCCCTCCAAACAATTCCCTGCTGCACTTAGGCCTGCCCTTAACTGAGAACCCCATGCCTCCGTCTCCATCCCCAGAGACTCCTCATCCTCGCCGACTAACCCGGCTGCTCAGCCCCGACCATGCACCACCTGTGCTGTCCCTGCTGGAGCAGCTCACCCACCTGGGGCCCCTGGTGGTTTCCCCACGCTTGCCCTGGGCAGGAGGCTCCCTCTGTTCCATCACTGGCCCCCATACACTCTGGCTTCAGTCAGCCTGGAGGGGCTGGATAGCAGCTGTTTCCTGGCCCCACCCTTCTCTATGCCAGGAATGGCTTCATAGCGAAGGTGTGGCTTCTCTGGAAACACGTCATATGGGCCTACGCCGAACTTTCTTCTCAGGTGATCATGATATTTCATTTTATTTTGTGTATTTTTTACCTGCTGTAACATCGAAGCGGTGAGAATGCTCCTGGTTCTGAGGCTAAGGGACAGAGTACTGGCCGCTGGGCGGGCTTTCCTTGTGGCTGGTGGGGAAGGAACTTGGTGGAGTCTCAGGTGGCAGGGGCAGTACCAGGGACAGAGAGGAGGGGGCATCCAAGACCCCATAATGTCACCAACCAGGAATGTTAAGAGGAGTCTGGGCCGGGCGCGGTGGCTCAAGCCTGTAATCCCAGCACTTTGGGAGGCCGAGACGGGCGAATCACGAGTTCAGGAGATCAAGACCATCCTGGCTAACACGGTGAAACCCCGTCTCTACTAAAATACAAAAAAAATTAGCCGGGCGAGGTGGCGGGCGCCTGTACTCCCAGCTACTCGGGAGGCTGAGGCAGGAGAATGGCGTGAACCCGGGAGGCGGGGCTTGCAGTGAGCTGAGATCCAGCCACTGCACTCCAGCCTGGGCAACAGAGCCAGACTCCGTCTCAAAAAAAAAAAAAAAAAAAAAAAAAGAGGAGTCTGAGCTTGTTGTGTGAACCCAGTTTCAGGTCCAGCCCCTGCACCAACCTCCGCCTCAGGGTCTGCAGTCCTCTCCAAACTCATCATTATCGCTGCAGCCATGACTTTTGGTGGAAGAGCCTTCCCTTGGGAGTTTTGTGTCTGAGGCCAGCAGTCCTGGGAGGCTTTCTGGAGGAGGTGAGACTTGGACCTGGGAGGGTAGTGACCACAGGGCAGCCTAGGAAGGGCCCCTTGAGGGAAGCTCTGGGAGGTTTGAGGTCAGGCTTCTCAGAGCTCAGGACGAGGCTCCTCTGCCCCCTTGCAGGCCAGGGACAGCAGGAAGGGGAAACCTCAGTGATCCAGGTGAGTTTGTCCCAAGGACTGGGGACCACATCGTGACAGAAAAGCAAAGGAAGCTGCCAGCCAATGCCCTTGAGCTCAGATGAAGCCACCTCCTCCCTAAGCTAACCCTGACTCTAGCCCCTAGCAGGGGGTCCCAGGTGGAGCTTCTTGGTGCGGAGAAGTAAACAGTGACACTACAGCAATGGACCTACTGGCCACCCCTCACACCACAAGCCAAGCCACGTGCCCGGGGCTGTTCCATCAACAGAGAAGCTTCAGCTGCCTGGGAATGCTGTGTGGCCACGGCCTCCACCGTGCTGGCCCTAGGCACAAAACGAAGCTGCAGAGTTTCTTTTTTTTTTTTTTTTTTTGAAGCTGCAGAGTTCTTAGAACCACATGGTGAAACCCTCTCTCTACTAAAAACACAAAAATTAGGGCTGGGCGCAGTGGCTCACACCTGTAATCCCAGCACTTTGGGAGGCTGAGGTGGGCGGATCATGAGGTCAGGACATTGAGACCATCCTGGCCAACATGGTGAAACCCCATCTCTACTAAAAATACAAAAATTAGCTGGGTGTGGTGGTATGTGCCTATAGTCCCAGCTACTCAGGAGGCTGAGGTTGCAGTGAGCTGAGATCGCACCATTGCACTCCAGCCTAGCGACAGAGCCAGACTCTGTCTTTAAAAAAAAAAAATATTAGCTGGGTTGGTGGTGCACCTGTATTTCCAGCTACTCAGGAGGCTGAGGCAGAAGAATCGCTTGAACCCAGGAGGTGGAGGTTGCAGTGAGCTGAGATCACACCACTGCACTCCTGCCTGGGCAACACAGTGAGACTCTGTCTCAAGAAAAAAAAAAAAAAGATTCCTCAGACCCAGGAGGCAGACACTGGCAGCAGGGAGTCCATCCCATGGAGCTCATGGAGCTGCTGGCTTGGGCTTAGCAGGTGCCATGTCCAAACCAACTAAGGGCTGGATCATGGGCCTTGGCAGAGGGCCGGGACACCTGGCGTGGGGGGAGGGCACCATAATCTAATCCTCACAAAGATGCCACTGGAGTGGTGGCCAGGAGACCCAGGGCCTGGATAGACTAGAGCAGTGAGCAGAGGTCTCGGACAGGCTGGCCTGGACCCTCACGATGGCCCTGTCCCACAGAGTACAGGCTCCATACCAGATTCTGCCCTCTCTGCCCTTTGCAGGGACCTGCTGGTGGCCTCCGGGCAGTGACTTTACCCCTCTGAGTTCTGTCTCCCAGAGGCCTTGGGACCCCACCCTCTATCCCTGGGTTGGTGGGAGGAGCCAGGGGGAGACACGAAGGCTCTCAGAGCAGAAGTGGCCAGTGTAGGCCTCACAGTGAGGGCCGGGCATGCCGCACACGGGTCTAGGCTCTGGGGTACAAGGTCCCAGAGGGTCCCCCAGCGCTGCTCCTGCTGGGCTTGGGATACCAGCCCATGGATGGCGCCTGAGGGGTCCACAGACGCCTTTCTCGTGGAAGGGAGGCTTTGCATTTTCTGTGCTGGAGATTATCCTTCATTCTAGAGCTGTGCAGCAGCCAATACTAGGGTATGGCGTAGCTGTGTTAGGAGGAAGGAGATGATTTCACTGTAAGTATG